TAGTCTCGCAAGAGTATGTGACTTATCCAAGAACATCCAATGGGTTTCATGGCCAAGCTGGGATGACATACATACAAGCTCACCAGTTAGGGGCAAGAACTATTTTAGACTATGTATGTATATCACATTTCTTCTTTGCATCTTATTTTTGTCTTTTAGCTATCACTATATAAGCAGAATACATTGAGATGTTTTGGAATGTGGCTGAGAATATTTTGTACATGTTTAGCTAAACAGGAAATCACTAGGAATTTACAAATTTTCTTTGTAAACCAATTTATTTAACATGGCTCTGCTTCATTTAAGCCTTAGGATCACCTCCTCACTTTTTCCCTTTGATCATGTTATTTATCAGATAATTGGTGGATATGTTGAGCTCTGGGAGCAAGGAAATATTTCCTTTTTGGATCATTTTTGTTCTTTAAATTGGCATGGGGGGGCTGAAATATATAACAATTATATTCCTTTTCTCTAATTATATGCCTCTTTCTCCCTTTCTCTTCCTCTCTCTGCATATAATAATGTTGTGTTTTCCATAACTAAGGATTTTTTTCCCAAACAGCTTTGATGGATAAATGGGCTGAACAAGCTTTAGCACCTGATGGACCAGCACAACAAGTATCATTTGTTGGTAAATGATTTATGATTTTCTCCCCATACATAATAATTCTTCAAATAGAGTTTCTCAAATCAACCTAGAACATTTTGAAGACACTTAATTTCTGTAATTGTTTTTATTGATTTAACTTTTAAAAAAATTGTATACACAAATGCAACAACCATACAAAAGAAGAGCAACAACATTACAAAATAGCCTTCCAAACTAAAAGTGTAGTCAGGATCAGTTTCTGAAAGAGCCATAACATTTCATTCTGAACTTTAATCTGTATTTCATGGATCCCAGAGAGTGGGAGGGGGTTTGCATGAATTGGAGCAAGCTTTTGTACTTATTCACATGTTCATTTATTTTTTCTTTCTCTGCATATTCGCAAGCATAGATCCATTTCTTCATCTGCTGCAGAAGATGGAAAAAGCTAAAACAGATTATGGTAATCTGAGAGTTATACACTGTATATATTTACAACACACTTTACATTAATTTCATAGATTTTGCTTTGGCAAAGCTCCATCTTAAGGAATTCTGGGTTTGCTAGCTTGGTGAGGTTAAAATGATTTTCTCTACAGAATTCTAGCCCACTTCTAAGTTCAAATATTGAGTGCTTGCCTATATGACAGAATTAAACTGATTTATAAGCTTATCGCACGGCACTTAAGGAACGGGAACGGGAAGGGAAGGGAAGGGAATGGAACGGGGCAAAAATGCATTTTATTGGATGGAGAATGCCACCAATGCCGCCAGGAATCCCCAAGGTGTTCCCCAGCCGTTCCTGGCAGCTGATTTTTAAAGGACAGTTCAAAATCATCCTTCAAAAATTGGCTGCCAGGAATGGCTGGGGAACACCTTGGGGACTCCCGGCGGCATCAGTGGCATTCTCCCGTGCAGTAAAATGCATTTTTGCCTTGTTCCATTCCCTTCCATTCCGCTCCATTCCCGTTCTTGTAAGTGCCATGCGATAAGCTTATTAATAATCAATCCCACTCTTCTCAGGTATCCTGAGAAATGTAGTTCAGGGGAGTAGACTACCTCATCAAAGTATATATCTCAGGATGCTTTGAGATGGACTTTTAAATGTTTCAAAACTGATATAACTATGCAATGCAGATACACCTTCACATTATGCAAGAATGTGGATTGCTGAACACTGGAAATGGTGATTACTTCATCTAATTATTACATTGTTGTTAAAAAGGAATTGGAAGAAATACAGAACAGTATCTATCTTAAACTCACTCACCTACCCC